CGCCAGGGAGGGAGGGCAGCACCCAGTCCTGCCTCTGGGCTCGGAGGGGCCGATGCCAGCAGCTCCCCTCCCCGCGCACGTCCCCCGCTGCCCTCGCCTGTTGCCAGCCAGCTGTGGAGCCGCCCAGCCGAGCCCTCGGTGAGTGAGCGTGGCAGGGCTGGGATTTCACATTGGCACTGCTATAGTTCCCAATGACAAGGGATTCACCTGCCCCCAGCTCGAATCTAACAAACCCCTGCCCACAGGGAAAGGAGGCGCAGACCAAGAATAAAGGCGATGGCCCACAGCCATCAAGAACGATGCCCCACAGAGAGCTGTGCTCAGCACAGACCAGAGCCGGCTTAACATGCCCTCAGCTGGGGAATCCACCTCCACCAGGGTCACGCGCAGCCCTCCGTCCATGAACATCTCTAAGATCCCCCATTTTTCACCTTTCCTTCACATATGATGGCTACAAAATATTTGTTACCTTTAGTCCTGAATGATGAATTTCTCATCACACCTGTCCCCACGCAGGATGCGTGCTCTATGGCTCCAACTCACCCATGATTGCATGTCACAAACCAGCACGGCCAGAAAGGGAAGCGACTCTGCAAAAGCATGACGGACTTCTCTTCCATTGAGAAGCATGTCTTTTTCCCGATGCTATCTCCTACCCTACTGAACCTTTTAATATTGCCTTTAATGATGATGTAGTGAGTAGAAAAACTACGGTAACCAGTTTATTAGATGGAGAAGGGCTGACAGCATGGGGTTAACATCTCAGCTTTACAGGGATGCGAAACCTCCCCCTGTGCAGCAGAACAAAAGAAAACTTCCGAAGGAATCCCAGAAGCAGTGTTTGTCAGGGATGTTGCAAGGAGTAAACTATGCCAGGTAAGAAAACATTTTAGTGTTTGTGGCTGAGGAGGGAATGAGGTATGTGTGGGGTAAACTTGTACTGTGAACCACTTTTATGATCCCCATTGTTTGGAATACACAACCGTGATTTACAGTGATGTCTCTTGTGATGGGTGTAAATCCTCTAGACTGGCTGAAGTGCCAGCGCTGGGGATTTGACTCTGACTCAGCCACAATTACAAGGATTTGATATCTAAAATACCATTGTGTCTCAGGGTTCCTTAGAAAGACCACAGCAAAAAATTCACTTTAAGAGATACTGACTGCGTGTGCATATGCATGCATGTGGATGCTGTTTGCTGTTGCTGCCCTGAGACAGGTGGCATTCCAAAGACAAGCAGCCTGAGAGGTGACTTAGGTTTTTCTCATTGACCACCAAGTCTCAGCATCACCGTTTGAAACATAAACTTTATTGCAACAAAGAATTAAAAATAGTACATCTGAAAGAGTTGCAGAGTGCATGTCATTGAAGAACTAGTCAGAAATCACAACTCAAGCAAATCGTGTACAATTGGAACAGAAAGTTTTATTAAAACAACTGGAAATCAACTCAAATTTTCCTTGTTTATTTAATTTCACCATAACCGTGGATTGTGTATTTACAGTCTTCGCCTCTTGTGGTGAAGGTTCTGCTCGGGGCGGGGGGCTAGGAAGAAGGCAGGGATGGATGGGGAGAAGACGTGGGTTTCAAAAGCTAACAGGATGTGAAAGTTTTCCAGAAGAAGTTCTTGCAGCCCGCTTTGCGTTCCCGGGGTGCCAAAGCGGGGTTTGAGTTAGCCGAGCGCTCCAGCTCCAGTCTCACTTCATCCTGCTCAGCCCCTCGGGACAAGTCCTCAGACTCCAGGGCTTCATTTTCTGTCTGGCTTGGCTCTGAGAGCAATTCTGCCAAAAAGTACTTGGCCAGTTCCTTGGGGGAGAAGAGGGAGAAAGAGAGAGACCACAATTACTCTTTGGCTTTTGGGGGCTCACCACTCTGTCCCTTTAAGACACCTTTGTGCCCAGATTAGAGACGTGCTCGACTCTGGAGGAGAAAGGGAGCCCCAGCTTTCCAAAGAGCCCAGCCCGACAGCTGCTACGCAGCAGCTGCACCTACGAAATAAAGCAGAGCAGAAGAGCACTGACATCTACCTGGTGTGGGGAAGAAACTGCTGTCCTGGCCGTGGCAGGGAATGAGCTCATCCGAGCACCACCCCATCTTCCCTTCCCTTCCCACTGGTCCAGCACGCTCTGCTGGACTCAGTGAGGATGCTGTGAGGATGCTGCTAAAGTGACACGGGAAAGGTCTTTGGAGGAGCTTGCAGGGGAAGCTGAGTTGGGGAACCTTCTAACTGGGGGTTATTTTTCCCCTTGCCCCTCCAAGCCCTGGCTGCCCCCTTGTATGGCTAAAGACATCCTCCTGCTGCACTGAGGCAGCTGCCTTGGTTCAGCGCCCCAGAGAAGCCCTGGAGAGCTTCCCCAGGAGCTGTGCCCTCTGTCCCGGCAGCAGCTGCTCCTCATCCCCACCAGCACCCAGCTGGGCTGGGCTGGGGGGGGTCTCCCCTTCCCGCCCCCAGCTGCTCAGCCTGTTGCTGGCTCAGCCCCGGCAGGGAACCAGGGGATCTGCCGGGGAACCAGGATCTGCAGCAAGCAACTGGGGTTCTGAAACGGGGTCATTGGAGAGATCTGGTGAGGAACTGGAGGTCTGCGCTGAGGGTACTGTAGGGGTCTGCAGCAGGGAAGCCGGGGGTCTGCAATGGGGGTGCCAGGGGCTCTGGCAGGGAAATGGAGGATCTGCAGCGGGTAACTAGGAGGGTCTCCAGAGGAGACACGGGGGTCTGCAGCGGAGAAGCAGGGGTC